AACAGTTTCAGTCGTTCAGTATAATTTAGCCAGTTGGTACTTGGTCTGCTTTTAGGCCATCCTGATGCGATGTTGTGAAGAGAGTCTGTTTTGAGAATTTTCACTGGCTTCTTGATGATATGTTCAAACCATCATAATTGCGATCTTTCGATTTGCGGAATAAGCACCTCAGAAACAATGGTTTCCCTTCTTACGGTGATCCAAATCGTGTCGAGATTATTGAATCCATTATAGAGGATTACTGGTTTAGGCCACTGTTTTTGGAGATGAACAGTTTGCCTTCGCGAGCGGGTGATTCATAGGCGACTGTCGCATACTCGTATGGCTTTTTACGATACGCATGAGGAGTTTGATGCAACAAAATCTATGTTCGACAGGGAACTCTTACGTCTGAGTCTTCGAACTGAAAGAGTGGCATAGGGTCCTTCTCTGTCGGTCTCCACTTGTTTTGCGTGTAGTTTTCTCATCATTTCACACTGCAGTATTCAGTGGTACAGAATTACGGCGATTGGTTTGTTATTACATCATGAATCCAATTGCAGTCACTCAATAAACCAAGCATCTTTAATGACTGAGATAGATAGTTTTACGTTACAACTTCCGGTGTTTTGCATTCTTCATACGGACAAAGACATTTTATTTGTTTCACTGTTCGATAGTGCCTTTGCCGTCCTTTCGGTTTTAGTCACTGAGTAAGGGATTTTTATTACCATGCCATGTCATTCGCTAACAGGCCAAAATAGCTTAATTTTTTCTTTTTTTGTTTTTGACCAGCGAGCTTGAGTGCCAAACTGTATTGAGACCCATTCATTGGTCAGGTCTATTCAGATGACTCATATGGGTCGTCAGTAGCAGCACCTGTCAAACTTCGATGGATGCACATTCTTCCTTGATGGTATAACTCTTGCATGCATAGCTTGTCGCCGACCGGAGTAGAAATGCAAGGACTTCATGAAGCTTCTTGAAGTTTTGCCGTATTTTGGTTACTTGTACCATTCAAGCTGTTGCTGACGACAGTACTGACGAATCTCCATTTTGCGATCGCCGCTTTCATCTAGAATGGAAGCGAAGTATCGAAAGAAGGTGACATACTGCAATAGGTTACACCATTAACACCGGTCTGTTTCGCAAGATGACTACTGGCCGCTGTCATCACTTCAGTCTTTGTTTGGTTGAATCTGTGATCGAAGATTTTCATTATCACATTCCGATGATGGCTCTGTACCAGTTGTTACAGCTGCATTGAAGAAGTTACGATTACACTGAAAATATTGATACAGAATTGAAACTGCGAAAGTGCAGTATAAAGAAGTAAAAATCTATTTCTCACTTTACACGAGCAGCTCTATTGTAACGCCCCCTTGTTTCTAGACGCATAAGGGGACCCAAGGTATCCGGGTTATATATATTCTGCCCACAGTTATTCGCAATATTCTTCTAGTGTGGGAAACCAGATTATACATTGAAAACACGCACCCAATTCACCGACTGAGCTTCGGCAATATTCGATGACATCTGAGTGACTGTAGAATTCTGAATCTGATCATTTTAACGGCGTTAGTTCGATTCGAAGTGTTTACATTGAATTTATGCTCATAAGCAATAATTCGACGGTGACACTTTTGCCTTAGTGTTGTACTCTAATTCGTCACGATACAATGTTTCGTCTAGTGTAAGTGTTGAAATTGAAGTACCCTGTACGGACTTTATGCGAGGTATTTCAGTGATTGTGTGCACCATTAGACTCGTCAGTGTGCCAGAAATACCACTGACTTGTGGCGCAGTCATTATGTCGGTAGTCAGTAATATTGCAGATTTTCCACTTAAGCGCCTTCT